GTTGTTTCCATTTCTTCGCCGTTATTATTATTTACTTTGTCGTCTATATTTGCATTTTCAACAAAATGTACGATGCATACATTTTTTTTTCATTACATTATTTCTTGTAAATAAGAAGCAATCGGATGAATAGATGATAATGAAAAAGCGCTTTAATACAATATATATGGTATATAAATGAAAAATACTCTAGCCATCTTTCTCTTTCTATCTTACATTGCTTTTACATTAATTTTTTTTAATACATTATTTTTCTAATGCTTTGATATGTAATGTTTTACAGAAAGTTAAGATTATCTACGATTATTAAAATCACATATTAAGATTAAAGATATAATGTGCTCTCTCTTTCTCTCTGTCTCTCTCTGTCAAAGTATTTATAGTATACACATGAATTTACGGAAGTGTGATACGATTTTTCTTACTTGAACAAAATATAATATTTAATAGAGATCAATGCTTATCATTTGATTACTTATACTAAAAACTAATAACATGTTTACGTAAAAATGTATTGTCTCTGAAACCTTAAAGTGCGATTATAATCAAATTACATCTTGAATTATCTAATATACGATAAGGTCTGATTGAAATAAAATAATTAAATGAATCTGTTTAATAAATATAATAACAATAAGTCCAATGATTAAAAAATAATAATATATAGTTGCTTCGTTAAAAACTATCAGTATCAATACACTGTGAATTCGATGGCTGAGGGATGCAGTTATTTGTTCTTCCTTCATGTAACTGTTATTAATGATTAACCTACTGGGGAAAGCTTGGTAATAAGAGCCGTACATGCCTCGTAAGGGGATGAAAGTTAATAGCAACAACAACACGATCCATTAGGTTTAACGCGTAAAGTCTCTCGTACATTCAGCTGTTTTCTACTTGAGCGGATACACCTGTCGGACGACGTGCCACCCGTGCACACCGATGCGGAATCCATTGTGTGTGAACTGGAGCATTTACTGGAAGAATAACAGAGCAATCATTTTGATATACGTAGATATCGTGTCTTTGTTTGCGTTAATTATACGACTTTAATAATTATACAGATATCCTTTATGCATCTACGTTAATTATTCTAGCTTTAATATGTTGAGTGTCATGAGATCATCAGTGATATAATACTGACATGTCATGTTGACGCGTACATGTAAAATACAATTAATATATACACATACTTAAATTTAAAAATATCATATTCCGCTATTTAAATGAAATTCGCTTTGCAATTAGTGCAATAATTTTATCATACTTCTTATTTGTATAATATAATACTTGGAGCTAAACAGAATACAAATTTTCGAACACAGAATCCCATTTTATTATCTTCGCTCTTCGAGATTAAAACAAGAACTTATTCTACTTTCGAGACAATACATATTTTTATTCTGAAAGATCTGTTGTTCAGGTCTACTTTTAGGTAGACTAATCCTAGTAGTCAGCTTCTGAGAAATGTAAATCTTTGGTCCTAATAAAGGATACCCGTCATCGTGTGAAATATACAAATGTTTATCATCAATCTCTTCTTTTGCATTAGCTGACGTTCGTCAAAATGTGAGAGTTGCACGCTAGAGAGAGAGAGAGAGAGAGAGAGAGAGAGAGAGAGAGAGAGAGAG